TCTGTTTGACCCCTCATGCCTAGGCACCCATGAAGTTAGTGCCCCTTTTCATCATTAAGCCCCCACCCTCTGCCCAGTCCCGGTGGTTTTTGCCCAGTGATGCCAAGAAAGGGGTTAGGTTGTTGGTCCTAGTTTGTGTGGAGCCATATTCACGGGATCAGAGCCGGCAGGAAAGAGAAGTAGGTAGGTTGTGGCAGCTTTGATGCCCAGTGTATGCCCTCCTGGGTCCTGCAGACCTCATGCTGTGTTCCTCTTTCAGTGAAATGCCTGAAGAACACCCCCGCCTTCTTTGCTGAAAGACTCAACAAGGCTATGAGGGTATGTAGCGCTTGTGTCTAGGGGGCCCTAATCTAAGACATCTTAGAGTATCCTGGGTCTAAGGGGGTCACAGGGGGCTGAGCATAGAAGATTCATGGGAGGGACTGGGGCCTTGGAAAGTGGGAGGGTGGGAAGCCCCATGTGCATACTCTTATCTGCATGACTCTTCAGGGAGCAGGAACAAAAGATCGGACTCTGATTCGCATCATGGTGTCTCGAAGTGAGCTCGACCTCCTGGATATCCGAGCAGAGTACAAGCGGATGTATGGCAAGTCGCTGTACCATGATATCACGGTACGGGCTCGGGGGCCAAGGCCCTCCCTGTCTCCTTCCCCTCTCCCTACGCTTGGCCTACTGGGCTTCTTCATCCAGTCACCTTCAAACAGATCACAAGATCCTGAGGAAAGGGCAGGCCACAACCCTGTGACCCTACATTCCCACCCTCTAGGACCCCAGTTCTTAATAACCGGACAGGCGTGTCTGCCAGTGGCATAGAGAAATCTCAGGCCTTCCTTCTTCCTGTCCCTAACCTTCAGAATCCCCACCACTCTGAAGGTGTGGTCCACCAAGGAGAGCTCATGTCCCAAGGGTCTGTGAAGCTCAGCTCATGTTTGCTGCATGTAGCTTTTTCCCCTTTCACTTTACAATGGAGACCACATAGGTAGCTCAGCCCTTGGTCCGCCTGGGGGTCTGATCCTGGCTGTTCTTACTTGGTTAACCTCATGAACCTGAACATTGTCTGCACACCACCCAAGCAATGAACCAGCATCCCTAAGGTTAATAGTTCCTCCACAGGTGTGGTGGTGGCAGTCTCCACAAATGCTGGAGGAAACACCGTGTGCCTGAGCTGGGTGGCAGACACTAAGTCACTTCAGTGCCTGATTTCAGACTTGGCATTTGATATCGTTGGGCTTGCTGATCTCCATCCCTGTGCTGTAGGATTGAGGCTGTGGGTAGGGGAGAACTTGTCATTACTGTCAGATTGTGGCCAAGGTACTAGTAGGCTGTGACAGCTAAAGAAGCCACAGACCTTGCCTTCAGAGAGCTTCGGGGGGCAGAAAATGATCTGAAATTAGCTAAGCCTGAGCACCAGCACTCATGGAGAAGGCACAGTATTGGGCAGAGATTGGTCTGTGAGAAGTGAGAGGCTGTGACAATGGTGATGTCCCCAAGGACACAGCATTGCTTTACAGTAGAGCCCAGTGCTCTAGGCAAGGAGCGTGCTGAGAAGCCCTGGGGGTGGTCCTTAGGCTGATTAGAATGTTCTGGATGTTTATTTGACTTCGATACTAGGTGTGGATGTGTACATGTGCACGCACATAACATACATATGGAGGCCGGGGTCAGCACTGAGTATCATTTCTTGGGAGCTACATAAATGCTGGGTGTTTGTTTGTTTTGAGGGTCTCACTGGGACCTGAGGCTTGCTGATGAGACTAGAGTGACCTACTAGTCAGCCCCAGGGATCTGCCTGTCTCCACCTACCCAGTGCAGAGATTACAAATACATGTCATCACGCCTGGCTTTTGGCTTTCATTTTACCTAGAATGTGGGGATCACTGGATCTAACTTGTTCAAGGAAGCGAGGACAGGCCTGCCTCTCCACAAGGACACTTGGGCCTTCTGGTGGCTTTTCCCTCGGACAGGCCTGCCTCTCCACGAGAGCACGTGGGACCTTCTGGTGGCTTTGCCTCCCTAAACTTTCGCTCTTGTTTCTGCCACCAGGGAGACACTTCTGGGGACTATAGGAAGATTCTGCTGAAGATCTGCGGTGGCAATGACTGAGCAGTGACGGTGGCTCTCCTCTGCCTCCTGCTGGCATTGGCAGGGAAAGGCCCACAGAGTGTCCTTCAGTTTTTCATATTCTATCCAGTATCCCCAGACGCACCATTTCTCCCCTAGAACCACGTTCTTTTCCTTCTGGTCCCTCCTCATCCACATATTGTGCCGAAAGGGCCCAGCTGGGCCAGAGTTCTCAGGCAGCCATCTCCCTGGCCCTCACAGCTTTTTGCTGTTCAGAATAGATGTTTTTGCTCTCCTGGCTCCTGCAATCATTCCTCATTGCTGTGGCTTTGTTGTAGACATGTGATTTTGTATTTTTTTGTAAACTTTTTTTTTTAACCATCATTGCCAGGCAGATGCATATAAGTGTGTTTACTATATACATGTTTCTGAGGAGACTGGTCAGTGGGTGGCACATCCCATCCTTGCTGGATAAAGGGAGGTCTTGTAGAGGTACTATTGTGTTTGGTAAGAATGTGTCATGAGTTTTGTTTTTGCCAAATTCACTCCTTTTTTTTAGAAAAAGGCCAAGAAATCATTTGTTCCATCTTCCATGCAAAACCATGCAAGAATAAAGCCAGTCTCCTGCGAGTGACTGGGACCCTTGTAGTTTGTACTGTGCCTTAAACCTGAATGTCTGTAGCCAAAAGCTGTTTCCAAATTAAAGTCAGTCAGCTCTGGAACATTTTGGAAATACCTTTTCTGGTGCCAGCTTGTTTTCTTCCGCTTTATGACTCAGAGATTCCAGCCCTGTTAGCTAGTAAAAATGGATGTGTTAAACTAGAAACATACACTGTGGAAATCCCAAGCATAAGCTACTGGCAGGGATTGTGTTTGAAGGACTTGCAAAAGATGTTCTCCAGATCCACACAGGGCCAGGTAGTGACAAGGCACAGGTGCCCAAGCCAGATGGAGGTGGTAGAGTTCCCTGAGTGAGGTGGAAAGAGTGGGTGGTCTCAGGGAGACTAGTGATGAGGACAGGAACAACCATGTTCCCCAGCCTCATGTTCCCTTGGAAACGCCAGTCAGAAGGGCACTTGGCTCCAGCCCTGCAGGTTCTCTGCTCGTTGGTGTTCAGAGAAGAGAACTAGCAGAGATAATTTCTGGGATTCTTTGTCATATCCAGGAGCATGGAGTTTTTCGCTTGCTAACTGGAGGTCTCCCCTCACTTCCCCTGTGTTAGAAAGCTTATGATAATGACTCTCCAGGAAGACAAGTGTCTATCTGGACTCCTGGGCCCTGATTAGAACCCCAGAGAAGCCTCAGCTGAGTGGCAGCTGCTGGGGTACCAATCCTCACTTCTCCCCCACAGTGGAGAAGTCAAGTATCTGTGAGCTAAGCACCAGTGCTGTGGATTGCATTAATAGCCCAAATGTGCACACACCCCAAAGACCCATGAACAGATGGGTGATACAATAGAGCATTATTTAGCCACGCGAAGGACTGACACATTCTGCAATGTCCAGTGAAACTCTGATTCCATTCACAGAAGCTGCCCACAGTCTGCAAGTCCAGGAAGGTAAATAGTTTTTTAGCGTGCTGGAAGTGGGGAGAGGTGGAAGGGGAAGTGACTGCTGTATAGGTTCAGAGTTCTGGGGTGCTGAAAATGACCTGGAATTAATGGTGATGGCTTTGTCACCCAGTGAACACACTAGAAAGCACAGAATTGGTGCAGGTGACAAGGGTAAGTTTTGCTGGGTATACACCTGTGGTCCCAGCTTAGTTTGCATGGTGCATCCCCCCTTCCCCCTGCAAAAGGTGAATTTTATGTAATGTGAACTTTGTTTACTGAAATAGAGGTTTTCTAAAAAAGAGGCTGGAGCCTTTCCTCTAGCGGCGGCCATCAGGTGAGCCAAGATGGGCGCGTACAAGTACATCCAGGAGCTGTGGCGGAAGAAGCAATCGGGCGTGATGCGCTTCCTGCTGAGGGTCCGCTGCTGGCAGTACCGCCAGCTGTCCAGCGGCCTGCACCGGGCTCCCCGCCCCACCCAGCCCGACAAAGCACAGAGGCTGGGCTACAAGGCCAAGCAAGGTTACGTCATATACAGGATTGCCGTGGTGGCCGCAAATGCCCGGTGCCCAAGGGTGCGACCTATGTATGGCAAGCCTGTCCATCACGGTGTGAACCAGCTATTTTGCCCGAAGCCTTTAGTCTGTTGCTGAGGAGAGAGCTGGACGCCCCTGTGGGGCTCTGAGAGTCCTGAATTTCTACATACGAATTTTTTGAGGTTATCCTCATCGATCCATTCCATAAAACTACCAGAAGAAACCCTGACACCCAGTGGATCACCAAACCGGTCCACAAGTACAAGAGACATTTGCAGGCCGCAAGAGCCGTGGCCTTGGAAAGGGCCACAAGTTCCACCACACTATTGGTGGCTCTCACCGCCGTGAAGAGCCTGGAGAAGGCGCAACACTGCAGCTCCACTGCACCGTTACCGCTAATACACGTAATGTTTGTACAATTCATACCCAATAAACAATTTAGGACCGTCCTGTCTGCTTAAAAAAAAAAAGAAAGAAAGAAGAAGAAGCTGTATGTTTGGATTCCCAGTCAGGGAACAGGATTCTTAATAGGCACACAGCCAGTCACCACCAGGAGGGCAGACTGGGGGATCACAGAGATTCTGATGTTGGGGATGGCTGGATGGGACCCAGATGACCATGTATTTCTGGGTGGCTCTACTGATGTTTTGTGGCCACAGTTTGAATAACAATGCTGCATAAAGGGCCTTCTGTATCCTGTACCATCCCGGGCCTCAGGTGCCTCACTTGGTGTGAGTCAATTTCTGCGGTCTGTCCCTATAAAGATGGCCAGGTTACCAGGTCTGTGGGCCAGAACATGTGGGGTTCAGGGTGTATGACAGAAGGAGTTGGCACTATGGTTACAGAGGTCATTGTTAGCAATCGTGGGCCCGAGCAGTAGCATTTATTTCACACAGAGGTGGGGCAGGAAGGCAAGAAGCCTAACTTGGTTCTTCAGTTGCCAGGTTCCAATACCTCTGATGGTCAGAAGTGATCTGCAAGAAAAGGGGGTGCCCTGAGTGAGCAGCAGAGGGATGCTGAAGGGGTATTCTTGCTGTGCCCAACAACTTCCTCCCTCCAGCTTCCCAGTCCCTTGGGATAGCAGTACCAAAACACAGGACTCAAAAAGGATCTGGGGGCTGCCCAGAGCATCAATAGGATGCCAGGGCCCAGGGTGAGAATAGACAGAGAAGCACAGACCAGAATACTCGAAGACTGATGATGTGATACCCATTCTGTCCCTGGGGGTGCATAGCATGCCCTGAGTTCTGGCTCCACCAGTGTGATGGAGCTGCCAGTGGCCCTAGGTGACAGACCCAGCAGGTGTCTCTCTGCCCTCTGAGCCACTCACCACCTCCTAGCAGGTCCGGTTCTGGGCTGAAGGGCCCTGGGGGTAGATTCGAAGCCAGTTCCTCCAGCAGGCCCAGCAGACCCGTCACTTCTGCCTCCAGGTGCTCCACTGTCTTCTCCACTGTCTGGAGTGAGAGGACGGGGCAAAGTCAATCACAGGGGTTTGGGCCATCTTTAGCTTAGCTTAGTGATATCCTAAAGAAATTCCACTGTGCCCCAGGTCCCAGCGTAATGCAGTGGAGAGGGAACTGGGTGCTGGGGAATCCTGGCCCTCACCCAGTCTCTGCTTGGTTTCCTCTGGTAACACCACCACAGGCTGCCCACTTCAGCCTCTGAAAGATCCTCCTGCCCTGGCACGCAAAGGGAACTCCTGAACACCTTTTTCTTTGTTTGGGATTTGACAGCAATAGTGTACATTCCTTTTGTCACACCGCCCCCTCGTGGCACCTTCATTAAAGACAGGCTTGGGATTTTAAAGTTTTTCTAGGGATTGCTTAAAAGAATGTGGGTTGCTGCAAGTCCTTCTGGCAACCTAATAAAAGTTCTCCCCACTGCCCCCGGAAACAGGGTTTCTCTGTGTAGCCTTGGCTTTCCTGGAACTCACTCTGTAGACCAGGCTGGCCTCGAACTCATAGAGATTCACCTGCCTCTGCCTCCTGAGTGCTGGATTAAAGGCCTGCACCACCACTGCCCGACTTCAGAACGGAATATCAAGTACATTACAATAGCATTCAAAGGTTAAAAACTACATATTGTTTTGGTTGTTGATGTTTGTAAGGTCAAAAGTCAGTAGACTGAGACAGGAGGATCACCACAAGTTCCAGGCCAGCTTGGGATACAGAGTATGGTTTGTCTCCCCAATAATTGTTTTATCATTATGGGAGTAAGGGAGCAGAAAGGCCAAATGTCAGTCTTAGGAGCGGTGCAGTGTGTGTGTGTGTGTGTGTGTGTGTGTGTGTGTGTAGCGGCACACTCACTATGGGAGTGTGTAGAGGTCTGTTCTCTCTCCACTTTGAAAATTTTGAAAATTCTGGAGATTAGGCCAAGCAGTAGTGGCAGGAAGATCTCTGAACTGGAAGCCAGCCTGGTCTAAAGAGCCAGTGCCAGGACAGCCAAATCTGTACAGAGAAACCCTGTCTCAAAAAAACAAAAAGAAGGGGGAAAGAGAGTGACAGCTGGGGCTCAGACTTGGGTCATCACGCTTGATGACCAGCACCTGGTGAGCCATCACACCGTCCTCACCTGGTCTTTGAGGCAGGAGCTCTTACTGGCAATGATTAGATTAGGTTGACTGGCTAGCGAGCCCCAGAGACCCTCCTGTCTCTTCCCCTCCCTCCGGTGCCGGCATGCCACTATGTCTCCCTTTTTTTGTGTGTGTGGGGGTCCTTGGGATGAAACCTGGGTCCTCATGCTTACATGGCAGGTGCTTTACGGACTGAGCTGTCTCTCCACCCCAAAAGTAAAATTTCAATATCCTAGAATATGTACTTATTAACTCACTAAGTAACAGTCTACCATCAGACCCAGTGATTGCTGCCATCCTGACAAGACGAGGCATATAGGGACACGCTGAAGCGGGGTGTGGGGGTCCATGCCTATAGTCCTAGCACTCAAGAGCAGAGCCAGGACGACTGCCAAGAGTTTCAGGCCAGGCTGGTTTAATAGTGAGTCCTAAACCAGCCATGGCTACAGGGTAAGACCCATTGTCACCAAATAATAATAATAATAATTTTTAAAAAGGCAGGCAATGTGATTCAGCAGGTCAAGGCACCTGCCACAAACTCTAACAACGTGAGTTAAATCCCTGGGACACACATGATGAAAGGAAAGTGGTATGGGAAGTCCTGTGTATGTGTTGTTTTTGTTGGTTAATGAATAAAGCTGTTTTGGCCAGTGGCTTAGAGTAGGCCCATATTTCTATGTGGTGTGGCTGCCAGGCTCTGAAGCCATAGAGGCCCACCGGAGGTGGTCACGTAGACCAGCAGACAAGCTGTCTCTGCCTACAATAGGTCAGGATGTTGTTGCTCCTTTTCTTTGTAATTTGGAGGATGCCTTATATAGATGCTAATTCAAGCCTATGTGACAGCTAGCATACTCAGCAGACAGGTAGATGCGGACGTGACAAAAGGTCATTCACCTGGTTACCTAGGAGACGGGTCTAATGTATCCCCCCACCCCGCTCAGTTTATGGGTTGGTATAAAAGTTGTCTGGAGAATAAACGCGGGGAGATCTTCAGGAGGAAGAAGCCTGAGATACCCTTTCCATGATGATGGTGTAAGCTGTGTCTGGTTATTCCTTGCACCTCCGTACCAGTCCAGTTAGGGAAAATAGTTATCTATGTTGGAGCCACACAGACTCTAACAGCTTAGCAGAATAGAGTAAGGCAGGAGTTCCAGGCAGAGATAGAGGAGAGAGTAGGTGGAATCAGTGAGAAGCCTTGTAGCTGCTGCAGGAGACAGATGCTTCTGCTGAAGCCTGCCAAAACTTGGTCGGTAGGCTACAACCTCGTGGTGATGCACAGATTGGTGGAGATGGGTTAGTTTAGGATATAAGCGTTAGCTATAAATATGCTAAAACTATTGGCCAAACAGTATTGCAATTAATATAGTTTCTGTGTGTTTATTTCTGGACTGAACGACTGGGGAACAAATGAGCATGTCTCTGACTACAGGAAAGAATTTAAAAGCTTCCAGGAATGAAGATAATACCTTCCCCCACATAAATTTATGAACCCCAAGTTATGATTCATGGCTATTCCACAAAATTTGATGGTGGAACTTACACCTTCTCCGACTTGGAAAAAAAATCTCAGTTCGGGTGTAAGCAGTGCTTCCTGAGAGGTAGGGTGTAACACATCACTCAGCCGAACATCCTAGTTAGAGCAGAGAGTGAGTTGGTGGCTGAGAAACAGGCACTGGCCTGCGTTTCCTGACGATCCACTGCACAAAGCCTGGCAGATGGCCATGAAGTTCACAATCCCTTCCTCCCATGCCCTCATTACCTCTTCCATGATGTCTAAACGGCCTTGGATAGCCACATGTCTGTCACAGCCTGGGCCCCAAGCTAGGTCTTCTCTGGAGGAACCGGGGGACTCAACAGCTGTAGAGAAAACAAGTCTTGTCACTGTGGGCCCATTGGTTTCCTTGTGGTACTAGAGTCCTGTCCAACACCAGCCTTGAGTGACATGGGTGCTGAAATCAGACACAGAGGGAGGATGAAGATGACCCACCACTCTAACTACTGTCTCCAGAACCAGGAGGGCGCCATCAAGTAGGCGGTGTTTAGACTGGGTAAAGTCAAGACAGGGAAGGTTTGGCTGCTTGCAAAGACATGGAGAGATGTAAATCTTCCTTGGACAAACCACCCAGGGAACTGGAATGCCTGGAAAGAACCAGATGGGTGGGAGATTCGACCAGCACGGGGTCTTGGGATCAAAACCAAGCCCATGGACCCAAGGCCTCCATGAGCTTCCATGGATATTTGGAGGGAGTGCTTTGAATTTCAGATCTAGAGAATGTGGAGAGATGCAACTTTAGAGGAAGGCAGAGATGACAGAAATCCATGTTTGAAGTAATAAGCCAGACAGTATCAGGTAGAATTCAGGGAGGAGGCTGAGCGGCCTCGGCACTGGGAACCAGTCAGTCTGAGCTGCTGGACACCATGTGGCATGCTGAGGAGGTCCTGTCGATCTGTAGCAGCCTCATTTTGTACTCCAGGAAATGAATGCACAGAGGGGTGAGAGGTCATGCCCAAAGCCACAGTGCTAGTGAGCGAGGATCAGAGGTCTAACCTACTGTGATGGCTGTTAATCCCACCTGACTAGAATGAGACCACTACCACAATTTTTGAGACAAATTTGAAGTAAGCTTTATTAAATACTGGCCAGGTCCCTACCAGGTATTCCCTGAGTATGGTGCCAAATTAGGTTAAGTGCTTATAAAGGCAGAGCCTACAATTCTGCCTTCGTCAAGTTGGGGGCAAACATATATCCTGGCACACTTCTGCCTATGTACCTCTGATGGGGAAGCTTTGTTAGCCAGTTGTCTTCAAGAGGTGGGACCAAGTTAGGGTGTGATTTTCTGGAACCCAGAGAAAAATGGGTACATGGCCCAGGTGCTCTCTCTGTGGTTCCCTCGTGGCACAGCTAAGCTTGGACTTCTTGTTCCTGTTTCTTGAGTTTCCCCCTTATAATAAATAAAAATATAATTGTTTATCTTTTAGTTAGCCTGGTTATTTCTCAAATTGAGCTAACTATTACAATGGCGCCCCGATTTGTGGGGCTCAGGTCTCCAGAGGCTCTAGTCAGCCGATGTCAGGCTCCACGCCGTTAGTTTGGGTATAGAATTCCCACGCAGCAACCCTAAGTAGTCATTAGCCGTGGTTCTTCGTATTTTCTCACTAAACAGCTCAGAGAGCCTTGGCTCCCCCGTGACTGCACAGCTGGCTTCTGAGTCCAGCATGGGACACGGGCTTCCCTGCTTTCTTGCTCTCTTTGTGCTCATGTGGCTGCGGACCAGTCAGGGACTTCCGTGATTTACACTTAATAACTGCTTTTAATCTGAGCATAGCTTTCAGCATTTAATGCTAAAATTCAGATTCAAGCCGCCCAAGTGGCTTCAAGTGCGCCGCGACACCTACTGGCAGGTAATGGTTATTGCATCTACTCCAGCTCAAACTCAACCACAGGTAAGATTTATAATTTAAAGTATAAATTACAAATTTATAATTTAAAAAGGAAAGATTACGAACAATTTAGCAATACAGGAGTTCAATAGCCTTTTTACTTATACCATGTATGACACAAGGTTTATACGATTTTCCTCCTACATCCCTCTATTTGATTCTGGGGATTAGCTTTGTCCTTCATATTTTCTCCTTAAAAACATGGTTTGATAACAGGGCCAAGATTGAGGTGCTTTTAGAAATGATACAGTTGGGGCTGGAGAGATGGCTCAGAGGTTAAGAGCGCTGACTGCTCTTCCAGAGGTCCTGAGTTCAATTCCCAGCAACCAGATGATGGCTCACAACCATTTGTAATGAAACCTGGTGCCCTCTTTTGGCCTGCAGGTATACGTGCAGGCAGAACACTGTATACATAATAAATAAATAAATCTTTTTTTAAAAAAAAAAGAAATGATACATTCTTTACAGACTGATAGTGTTAGTGTCCAACTAAAAGGGACATTCAAACACTCTGGAGAAGGATACAAACAATTTGACAAATAAAACCCAGGGTACTGAGATATTGTCTGAGAGAATTCGTACTGTTGAATGTATTAATCAGACTCTGTTGAAGGGTTATGATAGACTGACTGATAGAATGTCTCTCCAGGAAGATAATATGCATACTATAAAAGTTATGTTCAAGGATGAGGCATTATCTTCACTGGACAGACTTCACACCTTGGAATCCTCAATGAGGGCATTAAAACAGAACACTGGACAGGTGATCCAAACTCTACAAAAGGCGCTGCTAAAAAGATTTGAAAAGATTGAGGAATTTATTGAATTTAATGACCAGGGGAAAAAGGTACATATAAAGACAAAATTTAGCCTCATCAGTACATATCAAACTCCGGGATAGTTTACCCAGAGTTCTACCTGCCTTTCTGGTGATATCATCAGAAAGAGCATCTGACACCAAATACCCTAAGGTAGTCAAAGAATATACATGGGAGCCCATATGTATAACTTATCTAAAGGAAATTAAACATGCAATTGTATCTTATGAAATACATTTATCCTTCCTTAGGGAAATGGTCAAAATGTGGGCTTTAAGCACAAAGCAATGCCACAAGACTCGATTCAGTTTTAGAGCAACAGAAAAAATTAAAAGGACTTGAGATTTCCCAAGATCAAATTCTGGGTGAGGGACTTTACTCTGATCTTCAGGATCAAGCTCTTTATGATGAACACACCTTGTCTCTATGTAGCACAGCAGCTTTAAATGCTTGGGACAGGATTCAGAAACCAGAAAAGAGATCATATATTAGGGTTAAGCAGGGTCAGAGAGAACCCTTTAGTGATGTTTTCCAAAGATTAACTAAGGCTGTACAAATAGGGGTAACAGACCCAGAAACTAGATGTGTACTAATTAAATCTGGTTTTTGAGAATGCCAACTTAGAATGCAAAAGTATCCTTGGGTCTTTAAAGGTCAGATCAGCACCAATGGATGAATGAATCTTGCATGCAATGTATGTTGAGACACTTGACTATAGTACTAAAGCTTGGGTAGAAGCAACTTCCAGTGGTGTGAGGAGACATCAAAATCCCAAATGTTTTAATTGTGGTAGAATAGGACATCTAAAAAGGGATTGTAGACAAGGGATTCCTAGGAATAATGTCTCTTCTGGAAATGGCAAAAATAGGAGGACTCAGCCTTCAGGTATATGTAGGAAGTGCAGCAAGGCCAATATTGGACCAATGAATCTAGGTCAACAAAAGACAGATAAGACAACCTAACACCATCAGGAAACTCCTTGGGGGGACCTCTTGCAGACTCCCATGATGAATGCGATCCAATCATTCCCAGATATTGTGGAAAGCGTATCTCACCAGAAAAATTTTTAAAAATCCAGTGCCTATTAAAAAACCCATACTGGTCTGGATGATGGAGTAGATGTGGTGTATGAATCGAACACTCTAGTAAAACATAGGAAACATATATTCTGGCAGACTTCTATAAGTGATCAAAGACCAAAGCGAAGAGTGTATATAAATGGCATTTTTATTGAAGGCTTACTAGACATGGATGCAGATATAAGTATCATTACCCCAAAATCTTGGCACATCCAAATTGGCCTCTTCAAGAGGTAGATGTTCAGTTCCTAGGAATTGGAACCCTATCTCAAGTAAAACAAAGCATGAGATGGGTCCAATGCAGAAGACCAAAAGGACAGAGAGGGAGGCTAAGGCCATATGTAGCTAATATTGTAGTGAATTTGTGGGGTCGTGACCTATTGCAGCAACAGAATACCCAGATTAACATTCCTGTAGCCCCCAAAACTTATGTTTCTAGGGAAGATATTAGAAGATATTATAGCAAAAGGTCACCAGCCATTCAGGCTGTATGAAAACACAAAACAGTTGGCAAACCTTCTGAGGTACTAAAGGCCCTGCCTTTAAAATGGTTAACTGAGAAACCAATATGGGTTAAACAGTGGCCTCTAACAGAAGAAAAGCTGCAGGCTTTAGAACAGCTGGTACAAGAGCAACTAAATGCTCACCATATTAAAGAATCTACCAGCCCTTGGAATTCTCCTGTATTTGTTGTTAAAAAGAAATCTAAAAATAAAAAAAATGTGACAGATCTTAGAGCTATCAACTTATGGACCCTCTACAATCTATAATTCCTCTGCCTTCTCTGTTACCAAAGGGATGGCCTCTCATAGTTATTGATTTAAAGGATTGTTTCTTCACTATATCTTTACAAGAAAAGGATAGAAAAAAATTTGCCTTCACAGTGCCTACAAATTTTCAGCCTACTAGAAGATATCAATGAACTGTCCTCCCACAGAGAATGCTCAATAGCCCCACCCTGAGCTAATACGTGTCAGTCAGTCATTAAAAACAATGCATAAACATTTCCTAAGTCTATAATCTACCATTACATGGATAACATTTTGTTATCTGATTAAAATGCAGATACTTTTTCCTGCAGTAATCTTTGAAGTTTCCAGGAAGAAGATGGGACCCCACAGCAACAATTCAGGATTAGGTAAATAAGGAAGATGAGACAGAAACTATGGTGAATGAGCCAGTGGCAATGCCGGTTGCTACAATTCAGATTTTAAATGTCCTCTGAAGGCCCACATGGGCCTTCCATTGGTAGCCAGATATTGTTGGACTAACTAGACCACAGCCTGTAAGGCATTCTAATAAATCCACTTATATATCTATAGATTTATTCTTAGTCAGGATTCTCTAGAAGAACAGTCATTTGATCAGTTCTGTCCTGACAGAATTCTGGTGACTTAGAGGCTTAGTATCCAGAGCAGGCAGCAGGGAAGGGATCTGCTACTGTAAGAAGATGTGGACTGTTGGGAGGCGGGGCCTAGGGGAGGTTAAGTCATTGGGGTGTGCCTTCTGAGGGCATTGT